CTGGGTGTGTAGTGCGGGGGCAGTACACGAACTTGAGGTTCGCAAATGTCACATCACTCTTTTTTGTCTCACTGCGTCAAATTTGAAACTGCTATTGTCTTAACACTGCCTCAAGCAAGCCCAGCGCCCGCTGCGACATGCTACCCCAGGAGGCGTAGCCGGATTTACACGCTGACGCGACACAGCCGGCCACCGGGCACCCCTTCCCGTTCTTTCATTTCCTGTGAGTTGTCGGGATGATTTGAACTTCACTTCCTTTGCATGTCTTCCCTGACAGTTTCCTGGCATGTCCCTTCACTTCCTTCCACTTCACTGCCGTTTCAGCTCCCTTTCCTTGAAGACTTTTTATTCGTATTCCTTTTCGTTCCCGCTGTCCGCGTGCATTTTCCATGCATCTCGGTTTCTCTCCAGTGCCCTCTTCATTTTCGTGCAATTCCTTTGACATCCATTTTCCAGACATTTTCGATCCATTTCCATTCACCTTTCCCTTCATTTCCCGTCCCTGACCGGCGTGGACAGCACCCCCTGCATCGACTGCATCATCCGAAGCAATGTCCGCCATGGATGCTCAATTGTTGCACCCTGTTGCAATCCTTTTTCCATTCATTGCATCAATGCATTTTCCAGGAACTTTCCATCAATTGTCCACACATTTTCCATCCATCCCCTTTCCCTCCATTTCCCGCATTTTTTTCATCAACGCCCCTTCATTTCCATCAATTTTGCATCCTTTTTGTCCATCCTTTTTCCAGCCCATTACATCCAGCCATTTCCCATGAATTGTTTATTCGCATTCCTTTCCTTTTCGTTCCCGCTGTCCGGTTCTTCACGTTCTGCCCGTGCATTTGCATCTCGGTTTCTCTCCAGTGCCCTCTTGATTTGCGTGCAATTCCTTTGACTTTCATTTCGTTCACTTCCAGTCACTCCTGTTTCCTTGCATTTCCCCTTCAGCCCCTTGTTTCGCATCGTCAGCATGTATAGCATCATCCGCATCATCCGGAATGATGCCGGCAATGCTGGGGGTGTAGTCCGGTAAGCCAATCCGCAAATCCTTCGCCCCTTATAAGGGTGGGCCCAGCGCAAAACGTATGCGCATGGTCGGAGCATGGTCGGCACATGGTCGGCGCATGGTCGGCGCATGTTCTGCGCATGGTCGGGGCGGACGGCCTCTTCCTGAAGGTAAGCCCTACCGGGCTTTGGCCTGCGGCCCGATCACGTCCGGTGGCCGGATTTACACGCTGACGCGACACAGCCGGCCACCGGGCACCTTGCCCTGCCCGTTCTGTCACTTCCCTTTCCTGTAAGTCCGATGAGTAGATGTTAAGATCTTAAAATTCTAAAAACTTTGAGATTCTAAGGGTCAGATTTGAAGACTTTCGGAATTTAAGGTTTCAATGGTTGAAGAATTAAGGTTTTAAGATTCAAAGATTTAAGGTTTTTGAAGGTTATAACAGCCAGGCCATTGCCCAGCCATTTTCCATCCAAGGCTTTAAGATTGATTTTTTTTGAGATTTTCAGATTTGGCGACTTTCGGAATTTAAGATTTTAAGATCTTAAGATGTCAAGACTTCAAAATTTGAAGATTAAGAGGTTAAGGAATTTAGAATATTGCCCGGATTGAAGGAATTTTATTATATTTTACTTGTTTATGAATTTAAGATTTTCAGATTGCAATAGTTCGAGATTTAAAGAATTTAAGTTTTTGAAGCTTTTAAGATTCTGAGATTTTCAGATTTTGAGAATTTAGGAGTTTCATATTTTAAGATTTTAACATCTGAAGATTCAAAGACATGAGGGTTTCTGTCACTTCCCTTTCCTGTAAGTCCGATGAGTAGATGTTAGGATTTCAAAATTCTAAAAACTTTGAGATCCTAAGGGTCTCAGATTTGAAGACTTTCGGAATTTAAGGTTTCAATGGTTGAAGAATTAAGGTTTTAAGATTCGAAGATTTAAGGCTTTTGAAGGTTATAACAGCCAGGCCATTGCCCAGCCATTTACCATCCATTATCAGATTTCGAAGGCTTTAAGATTTTATTTTTTGTGAGATTTTCAGATTTGGCGACTTTCGGAATTTAAGATTTTAAGATCTTAAGATGTCAAGACTTCAAAAGTTGAAGATTAAGAGTTTAAGGAATTTAGAATATTGCCCGGATTGAAGGAATTTTATTATATTTTACTTGTTTATGAATTTAAGATTTTCAGATTGCAATAGTTCGGATTTAAAGAATTTAAGTTTTTGAAGCTTTTAAGATTCTGAGATTTTCAGATTTTGAGAATTTAGGAGTTTCATATTTTAAGATTTTAACATCTGAAGATTCAAAGACATGAGGGTTTCTGTCACTTCCCTTTCCTGTAAGTCCGATGAGTAGATGTTAAGATTTCAAAATTCTAAAAACTTTGAGATTCTAAGGGTCTCAGATTTGAAGACTTTCGGAATTTAAGGTTTCAATGGTTGAAGAATTAAGGTTTTAAGATTCGAAGATTTAAGGCTTTTGAAGGTTATAACAGCCAGGCCATTGCCCAGCCATTTACCATCCATTATCAGATTTCGAAGGCTTTAAGATTCTATTTTTTGTGAGATTTTCAGATTTGGCGACTTTCGGAATTTAAGATTTTAAGATCTTAAGATGTCAAGACTTCAAAAGTTGAAGATTAAGAGTTTAAGGAATTTAGAATAATATAGCCCGTATTGAAGGAATTTTATTATATTTTACTTGTTTATGAATTTAAGATTTTCAGACTGCAATAGTTCGAGATTTAAAGAATTTAAGTTTTTGAAGCTTTTAAGATTCTGAGATTTTCAGACTTTGAGAATTTAGGAATTTCATATTTTAAGATTTTAACATCTGAAGATTCAAAGACATGAGGGTTTCTGTCACTTCCCTTTCCTGTAAGTCCGATGAGTAGATGTTAAGATTTTAAAATTCTAAAAACTTTGAGATTCTAAGGGTCTCAGATTTGAAGACTTTCGGAATTTAAGGTTTCAATGGTTTAAGAATTAAGGTTCTAAGATTTCATATTTTAAGAGTTTAAGATCTCAAGATTCTAAGACATAAGGTTTTTAAGATTTCAAGATTCGAAGACTTTAGGAAGTTTTTATATTTTTAGATTTTAAGATTCTAAGTTCTAAGATTTTAAGATCTTGAGATTCTAAGATTGATTGTTAGATATTAATTTAAGATTTTAAGAATCTAAGACTTTAGGATTTTGAGATTTCAATCCAGGCCATTTTCCATCCATTTCCATCCACTTTAGATTTTAAGATTTTCAGGTTGCACGTTTTCGGCAAAATTGGCCCGACTTAGGGGACACCATCCCCAGCATCCCCCGCATCGCCAGCATGCATCACATCATCCGCATCATCCGGGATGATGCTGGCAATGCTAGGGGTGTTGTCCAGTATTAGGCACCCCCTAAAAATGTTCGTTTTTGGGCGCTGCGGGGAGATGCTACAAAAATCGCCTAAACCAATCCACGAATCCTTCGCCCCTTATAAGGAAGGCCCAGCCCACAACGTACCCGCATGATCCGCTCATGGTCGGCGGCATGGGGCGCGCGGCCTTATACCTGAAGGTAAGCCCTAACGGGCGATGCTGGGCCCTCGCTCTACAAAACGCTGTAAATACCGTCAAAAACTGCTGTGCTGAGCGGTTTGTTGTTGTTCTGTCCGTTTTGCAGTTGCTGTGGCTGGCTCGCGTGCTGCGCGGTCCTTGCTGTTTTCCCGTTGGTTTTCGGGCCTTCTGGCGCGCACGCGCGACCCCAGCCACAAAACGCTGCTATTTACGGTGTTTTGTTGCATTTGCGTTTCCGGGCTGGCTTGCGGGCTGCTCTTTTTGGGCTGCTTTTTCTGGGGCCTCTGGCGCGCGCACGCTCGCGACCCCATGTCAGCCTTCTGCTGGCCCAGAAAGCTGGCATCCCCTGCATCATCTGGGGTTGGGGTAGGCAACATGCATAACCTAACCAACCATATCATAGCACAGAATACGTTTCTCATACAAAAAACATGACATGACATGGTATAACTTCAAAGAGGCGTAGCCGGCTAGAGGCCGCAGGCCCAGAAATAAACTTTCCCCTTCCCCCGGTGCCTTGAGAGAAAAAGGCCTTGTGGGTGGTTGGTACCCGAAACAAAGCTCAGGCTCTTTGGGCCTCTGGTGACCTCTAGGGGCCGTTGCAGATCGGCAGATTTTCCCCCCCGGATATGGCGTAAGGTTCTCGGAAGATCTGATGGGAAAACCACGCGCAACGGATGCAGAAGGTTATCCCACGTGTCTTTTCAACTGGTGTCAATACTTCCCTGAAGCTGATGGATTCCTTGTCGGCTTCCTGTCAAACAAACATATACCAGAAAGCAGCTGTCTTGCCATTTGAGACGCAGCCAAAACTCCTTGAGGGGAGTTTTGCCTGGTTCATTGCTAGGCACCAAAACATGTTTAGTGTTCACAAATCGGATCTCCCAAGCGCCGATTCGTTCGACCTCTATCAATCAAGTACCCCGGCCTTCTGATGGGGCGAAATCAATCATGAGCTGCCACAAATCCGAGTCCCACCTCCGAAAGCCGTTGGGAGGTGATTGCGGCTAGAGACTCAACCCTTAGCAAAAGGATGATTCATGAGAATTCGGCGAGGAAGCCCTGCTTCAGTATTGAAACTGCCGCTAGGTTCTCCAGGATGGTCATTTCAAGCATGGGACGAATGCCAAGGATGACCATCACCTTGGATTGGGAACCTCTATGAACCGCTCCTACTCAGGGGCATGGTCAAAGGTATGCATGAACACCAATGGTCTGCACATCATACACCTCCAAATGGGTGAACCGCCCAAAATGGCAACAATCTAACAAAGGTGTGTTCAAGTTCAAAAAACAAAGTAGCTACCCCCCCCCCCCCGCCCCCTCTCATGAAATAGCCTTTGTAGTCCATGCGGTTTTATGGCCCTCCCTAACCCCGAACGCCCCAAGCGCCGCTTGCGCCCCAGCGCTTGCACCCGTTCCGCGCGCCTGGCTTGCAGCCTTGCTGGCAAAGCGCTTGTACTGGCGCATGGTCTCCGGGCTGTAGAGGCCCGGGATGTTCTGGTAAGGGTTCCTCAGCCATCAAAGAGGAACCGTTTGCTCTAAAAGAGAAACCAAAAACGAAACTTAGCGTCTTTCGGGGTTCCCTGATTTTAAGCATCAACCAATACAGCTTGGGAACAATCATGTCAACAGAAAGTCAAAGGGGTTCCCTATGTAAGTGTTCTTTAGCAACATAGACGCTTCTCAGGCTCTGCTTTTGACCAATAGTTCCGGGGCCCCATACTGGTTAAGCGGTGAAAATCCACTTAGAGACAAGGGATGAACTTGGGTCTCTGGTGGATTTGAACTCAAAGAGCACAGGATCCAGCCAAAAACAAGCTGTCTTGCGAATCCTGGGTCCTATTCACTAGAAGCCAGGTATCACCTTGTGCTATTCTCCTCTCCACTGGAAATAAGAAACCGATGGTAACACAAGGCCGCCCGTCATGGATATGCACCACCCTAATTACCAAGTTATATAAGGGGCCTCAGAGAGATGGAGGTCTATACGACGGCTGCCAGCCACTGTATGCGACCTATTTGACCCTCAATAGGCTCCTCAACTGATAAAAGTGCAAGTAGACACCTCTTCACTTCTCAGATGAGCCGCCAGGTTCGTTTTGAAAAAGAAGCTGATAGAATGCAGGATCAGCAGAATAAATGTGGCCAGTTGCAATCGATTTGACCTGCACAGTGCTAAAGGGGTTATCCCACGGTCTTAGGGGTTTGCTGTACCCTCCGGCATGGCATTAACTCGCGTGCCCGGTCACCTTCATTTCGCCTAGCACCAGGACTTTCACCTACTTAGCACTGCGCACACGCACCGCTACATGATACGAACCCAAATGCGCCCGCTCTGCACTGCGCACATGCCCTGCCAAAAAATGAGAACCCGCGTTCAATCGCATCCTGCGTTCAAGCAGCAGCTGAGACGCGTCAACACATGCATGTGAAAGATTTGGGTGTGAATGTCTTAGAGACTCTGGCCTTTCGCCAAAAGCCATGAGCACATACAAATCAGCTCCTGCAGGCTGCTTGTGGTGCTCGCCAAAGTACTTCTGTACTCAGATTGGTCGTGGCAGACGCCGGAAAGCACTGCGGCGCTGATGCGCTATGTCAGGTCCGCGACCTGTTGTATCATCCCCGATCCTTCGCCGTAGCGTTCCATCTAAACTCCATATACCATCCAGGCACATTTCAGACATTTCGACTTGGTAGTGGGGAGAAAACAACAATGCTGTGATACCAAAGCGGTTGATTCCCATCGTGACGATGTTGGCCACTCCGAAGAGATTCTCCTGATCACAAACATGAGCTAGGGGTGTGTCTTGTGAGGATGCAATGTAGTTGAGTGATGTTAAAGGGACCAACCAGAAACCATCCGTCTCAAACCCAGATTGGCTTCCCAAAACCAATCCATCTCCCAAAACCAGGAAGCAACCTGGTCATCACCTGGACTCAAACGTTGAAGCGAGTGAAGTGACTCGAAGTGATATCATCTCAGTGGTGACTAATTGCTGTTGGTGCCCTTCCGCATGCATTCAATCCGGCCAGCCTCAAGAGATGCATACTTGGTTTGCTTGACTTTGAGTTTGTATCGGGAAACCCACAACATGTGTTGCACACCAACATATCAATATCAAACAATGTCCGCGTTGGCTTTGCCTTGAGTTCTGTGTTTGCAAGGCAGCTGAAACAACTTGACATGTCACCATGCCAACGTGGACTCGTAAGCTATTGCTAGACATACATTCCAAAACACCAGATCAAACAGTCACCTCCGCTCTCAGCCAAGATCGAAGTGACAACACAATTGCATCATCCAAGCAATTCAAGTTGCGCCTGCGGACACGCCTGCTTTGATTAAGACGTTCGTAGCACCTCAACCCCCTCTGATCTCCCTACTTTTTCCAAATGAGAGGCGAAGGCCTTGTCATTTCTGTGTCCACGTAAACCAGGGCGAGGGATTTTGAAGGAACCCGGGGGGTCAGTGGATCCAAAGAACAGTGGGGAAGCAATCTTCGCCAAGCGTCACCGAGATCAGGATTGGCATGCCAATGCCTGTGTAGATCTTGTCCTCCGCGTTGATTTCCGGCCAAGGTGTCTTTGAACAAACATGAGCGGCACATGGGCATGTCTCACACCTCTGAACACACTCTAGCACAGCTGACATGGGCGCTGTGCAAAAAAGCAGCAACAATCTCCATCTGGTAAAATTGAATTGGGGAAGCAAAAAACAATGGACAACTGCTTGGACAACTAGACACTCCCTCTAGTATGAAATGAAGATACAAAAACAAGCAAATGTGGAAAGGTCCCCACACATCAGCTTCAGAAAAACCTAAGTCATACACTGACACTGCTTGCATGGCGATTTGAGTATCAATTAGAGTGGAAATCGAGCATTTGGCGAACATCAGAAATAGAAACATGGGGGGGTGCCACCACCAACCATGTTGCTTCCCTACTGGGGAAGCTACTAAACTTCATAGCGTCTATCCTCAGCCTGTCCTGGCAAAACACGTACCTTGTAACACATGGAAAGCTGTGAAAATGGCTGCATTCCGAGCGACAATGCGCAATAGCTGCAAATGATACAGCCTGTCACAAACCTGGAATAACTCACACTGAATCACGGACAATGTGCGCGTGATACATTTGTTGTCTGGCAAAGCATCATGGAACATCAGCAAAACAGCAAGTCGAGCACATTGCCCCCAGGCCACCTGCCTTCATTCCCAGTCGGGTTCATAATGTGTTGATCAGAATTCCCAGTATATAATGACACCCAGTGCTTGCAGTGACTGCCATACTAGGCAACCAAGCATTCACCCTATCAAGAACAATGGAACATGTCCGGTTGCAAACCGTAGCGGCATCTGGGATCTACTGGGATAGTATATCACAAGGGAATTCCTTTTGTTCACATAGTGGCCTCCAGTGGTTTCCGTTGGCGGCATCTTACATATCGTTGTATATCCTCTTTAGAACAGATCCATCTGAAGCCTTGTCGATTCCAAATGGCTGACAACACAACACAATGCGCAAGTTCAAAGACATAAACATCCTCCTGCATCGCCCAAAGCACTCACAGACATACGCAGATGTTGCCCAAAAGGGGTGGAAGCTTTCTTCATTGGAAACGGCCATGTGGTTGAGAAACCTTGGGGACCAGCCCCACATCAAGAAACCTGGCACGGCAAATGGAAGAACAAAACTTTCAACCAACCCAAAAGAACGCGCAAGCAATCGAGGCCAGGCTTGCTGACAAAAACGATTGGCGTCCTCCTCATAGCGCACGCGGATGTTGTGCAACAAGGCCTTGGGATCGCTGCCATGGACTGCTGGAGCTCCAAATCTGGTTGCTATGGCGGCGCTTTTGGACGGTACCCTTTTTCGGTTTGGCTTGAAGGGACACCAACCGGAAAGCCACGAATTTTGGGAGGTCCCTCGATTTTTGAGACATACCCACATGTCATCAATCATTTTTTGAATCCTCAGGCAAGGGCGCAAGGGCTTGCTCGGTTTTAGCCCGCAACATGCGCTGTTCCCCGAAACAACGCACCTAATGTGGTAGGCCGTTTGTTTGTTTGTTTGTTAGTTTGTTTGATTGTTTGTTTGATTGACTCGTTCTCCTTATGCCGAAAATCTGGAAACAACTCTGTGTTTTTGGACGTCCTCTTTGCGAAAATGCTGGGAAAACCGAGTTTTTTTTGCGGGAAATGCTGGGGAGCACAGGGGAAATGCAAGGAAGTGCAAGGAAATGAGGGGAGGAAATAGGAAGTCAACATGACAGGAAGGCAACGGGAAATGAAAGGGAAACAAAGGGGAACTGAAAGGGACATGAAAGGGACAGAAATGAAAACAAGGGGAGTGCAGGGGGAATGAAAGGGAAACAAAGGACAAGGCAGCCAATCGGCACGACGGGAGATGTAGGGAACTGACTCGCAACGAAAGAACGGGACATGCGTGGAAAATGAAGCGGACATACCGAGAAAATGCCAGGGACATGAAGGGGGAGTTGAAAGGAATGGAAGGGACATGACCAGGACATCATGGGAAACGTGAAAAGGACATGAAGGGGAAATCAAGGGGAAAGCCAGTAGTGAAATGACAGTTCAGGGTCATGAAGGGGCAGTGCTCAGACATCGAGGCAACTCAGGCGGACGTGACACTGCAATGCAAATGAAAGAGAGATAGACAGGGAAAAAGCGGGAGAGAGAGAGAGAGAGAGAAAGGGAGAGAGAAAGAGAGACACAGAGAGCGAGAAAGAGAGAGAGAGAGAGACACAGACAGAGCCAGAGTCAGAGAAAGAGACAGAGAAAGAGACAGACAAAGAGAGAGAGAGAGAACCCCAGGTCGAAGGACACAACCAATCGTGGGTTCCCTAGACTATCCCTATCCCTGACTGAGCATAAAGTTTAAAACAAAAAGAAACGGAAAAATCGACCATTCTCAGGAGCAACCACTTGCCGAGGTTCCAAGAAGGCCTCTTACTGCCCGTGTCTCCTTGAGCCTCCCCCGAAACCTGCCAGGCCGCAGGCTCATTGAAGTCCCCCAAAGTCAGCAGGTCATCCACCCCGGTGAGGCACGCCGGGTCCACCGCCAAGGCTTCCGTTTTGGGCACCTACGCGAGACACGCGCGAGAGCTCGGGGAGAAGGCGCCGGGCGCCGGGACAAAGGACCAAAGGGGTGCTACTGGGCTATCTCAGATGATCCTCAATTTGTTGGTTCGGACAAAGGCAGAGGGGTGTTGCTGATGATCCTCAATTTTGTTGGTTCAAACCTGTGATCATCGATAGCCCCAGCTGTTGGTTGTTGAGTCCCGGAATCACTTCGTCCCGAACTTGGTTTGAGCCATGACCAAAACCAGAGGTATCAAAGTTATGCACCCAAGCCAATGACCAATCATCACATACTCACGTTTCAGCTTCTCTGCTAAGACACCTCCGATACAAATGTATGGTCATATCGTGAGCGGCTACCCAAAAACTCTATGTTTGAGAACGATCTCCAGGCTCCACTTTCCAAACACTGTGATTTGGGCTCACCTGAGGCCAGTGGATGCCAGGCAAGCCACTGGAGACTGCCCAACTTGAGTCTTCAAACCGATGCTCCCCTTCGAACTGCTCGCCACAATGAGGCACGGTGACTTGGAGTTCCCTAGGCACGCGATCGACATGAAACCCAGCAAGGGATTCAGGAGATTCCTCTGGGTAAAAACAAATCCATAAGCGTAACTGGAACTGGCCGTGCCTGAAATGTGGTTCCCTCATCATCCACCACGCAGAGGGTATCGCCGTTGTCCTCGTTGTCATTCACGCGGCCGGGCCTGGTGCTGCGTCCACGCGATCCCGAAACTCCCATAAGCGCTCGAAATATGCCTTTGGATGATGAACAAGGATATGGAAAAATCGGCGAGTCCACTGTTTTTGTTGCGTCCCTTGTTTGTGGGAAAATCAGAGTCCTAGGTTGGTTTCGTGGCTGAAATTCGGTGAGTCTATGCCCTTCCCACATTGACCACAGGCAGCAAATATTCGGCAGAACCTCCCAAGCTGCCCGCATTGCCAAACTACAGTACCGTCGTTTTGTTTCAAGTGCCACTTCCTATTTCCCCTCAAAACCAGCACGGAACACATAAGAAGCAATAGGATCTCACAGGCAAGGTAGTTGTCTAGGAACACATTGACAAGGATCCCAAAGAAGAGCCACTTGCTTCCTCTCAGAGCAAATACTGATTAGCTTTTGGATAGCTTTTGGAGGTACAATGGAAAGTCCAGTGGATGAAGAAAAGATCTAAGCTGAGTAAGGGAACAAGGTTCCAAAGACTGGCTATGTCAGGAACGGATAGGCATTGAGTCAGTGGCAACCCAAATGAGGTCTGTTCAACCACCCTACCACAGAAGATACCCAAAAACGCAGGGTTGGGACAATCCCCCCATCAACTCAAAGCTTCTGACAGAGATGACAGAGTCCACTCAAAGCGGACCTCAGGCAGGAATGGCATCCAATGGCTTGTTTCCATTTTGGGACAAGGTTGGGTTCCATACCTTTAGAGTGACACATCAGCCATGGAAAAAAACATGGAAAAACTCACTCCCCATATGGATTTGCTCCATGGTGGTTGCGTCTTGGTATATTGTCTGTAGCTGGGCAACCAGTCGCATTCCACTTGAGCTGGCCTTCCTATCGAAGGAACCTCACGCGAAAGCCCCCGCTGCTGCCAGTTGCCCAGTGGAGCCACTTGATGTATGTCATGTCGGGGTCAATTCCATTCGGGTCGAGATTTAATTTGCAAATACCTGCTTGGTTCGTCAACCTTCTGTTTGCCGCGAAAGTGGCGCCAGTTCACTTATTGGTCCTTTCCTGCTTGCTTAGTTCATGTTTAAGGAATCCGAGTAACCGTTCCAGTGCTTCCAGTTGCCACTATAGTAGGTAACCAGGTATTTCCACCTCTTGGTTTTGCGTGATGGTTTGCCCTGGTAGGATGACTGTACAAACCACCCCCCTTGTGGTTTCCGTTAATTTGCGGCAGTGGGAGACCATCCTGCACGCTCACATCTGAAATCACCTGAGATGCCTTGGGGCGGCTTGAGCCACAACGAGAAGCCCTGGCTTCGCGGGTGGGGCTCTGTTTTGGTCCATTTGCTTGAGCCGCACTCGGCATCACCGGGCCAGGCCGTCCGGTTCAGTCCCAGGCTCGCAGTTCACATTTACAGCAGTTTCTCGGTATTTTACGCTAGTCCGTCAACATCATTAGCATCGTTTTCAACATCCCCCGCATGTCCAGCCAACATCCCCAGCATCCCCAGCAAATCGAGGGCTTGGCTTCATGCACCTCTGCGGCAAGGCCTCATGGTAAAAGTGAGAATTCAAACGGGCAAACTACTCCCTGAAAAAGTGATGATTCAATTAGGGGTGCAATTGAATCTCTGCCAAAAATCCAAAAAGTAGCGGGGGGGGGGAATCCAAAAAGTAGCGGGGGGGGGGGGGGGGGGTTTGGGGGGGGGAGGAGGGGGGGCGGCAGCCCATGGTGATCAACAAGTGATGATTCAATGGGGCAAAAAAAACTAAAAAGCAGCGGGGGGGGGGGGGGGTGGGGCGGGGAAGCAGCCCCCCCCATGATGATTGACAAAGTGATGATTCAACTAGGGCCAAAAATATATATGAAAAAGTAATGATTCAATTAAAGGCGCGGGCGGGCAGCCCCCCCCCCATGATGATGGAAAAAGTGATGATTCAATCAGGGGCAAAAAGTTAAAAAAATAGCGGGGGGGTTGGGGGAGCCCCCCCCATGATGATTGAAAAAGTAATGATTCAATTAAAGGCGCGAGGGGGTTGGGGGGGGCGGCAGCCCCCCCCCCATAATGATGGAAAAAGTGAGAATTCAATTAGGGGCAAAAAGTCTAAAAAATAGCAGGGGGGTTGAGGGGGCGGCAGCCCGCCCCATGATGATTAAAAAAGTGGATCGAACAATTAGGGGCAAAGAATCTAAAAAGTAGCTGTCGCATGATGATCGAAACAGTGATGATTCAATGGGCGTGCATTTTAATCGAAATGGGGCCAGAGAGGAACTTGCGATGCTGAGGATGCAGGAAGCTAAGGCCATGGTTTTTGGGAAAGCAGAGGATGCGAAAGCCAGAAAGCCGCCAAAAGCCACAAAGCCTGCCGCAGCGGAACTGGCATTGCAGAGGATGCGAAATGAAAAGCCACAAAAGCCACAAAAGCCGCAAAGCAACCCACCCTGAAAAACAAAAAAAATGGCCCTCCATTCCATTCTCCCAATTCTCCCCGTTTCGCGACCAAAAAGCAACCGAAGTCATTGGCCCGGACTTCGGACTCAACTGGTTGACAGATCCTTCGATGTCGATTCAGCGAAGTCCCCCGGCCTGTAGCCATGCGTGGGGTGGTTCGGGATCCACACTTTCCGCGCTTCCTTGACGATGAGCTCCATGCGGCCAGGGTGTGGCGCAAACTTCTCGGCGAAGTCTTCGGCTGTCAAACACACCCAGTGGATCGAGTGTTTGCCTTGGACTTGGGTGTATGGGAACACACCCATAGCAACCTAAAGAATCAAGCTTGGGCTGGAACTAGAATACAACCGGGCAACGTCCCAATGGATGCAATCCAAGGGTGTAGTGCAAGAACCCTTGTTCCCTTGGTTACGTACGTTGTCTGGCAACGGCGCTGGGACAAGCTGTTGGCCCCTGTTCGGGCAAAGGAGAAGGTGGACATGTGGGGCTGGTGGCTTTTGACGGGGTTCTTCCAGCAAGCCAAAAAGGGTCTTGCAGTATCCTGAAGCTTTCGCAAGTGCTGTCCAAAGAACAATGAGCCATGAGGGATTCTTGTCAAAGACTCTATAAATACTTGTCTTTCCTTGAATTTGCCTTCACTTAAATCCGTGGGCAAGCGGCCGGCTGGAGACCTGTCTCTGTCTAAATCCCCCACTGGAACAGGATGGCATGAGGAAAAACACGTGGCATGTCAAAAGACTGGAGCCGAATGATTCGACATACGGACGCATTCGGAAGTCACAAGCACCTCAAGACCGGGCTGCAGAACAAGTTGGACACAGGCCAATGTTGAAAGAAACTCTGGATGGCTACACACATGAATCCATGACGGTTTGTCAAAGTCCACCGAAATATCGGATTAAATTGTAAGGAGGAAAGCAGCATGAAGCCAACCCTTCGCGAGCTGTCCTTGGTGTGACATATTTCCATACGCCACCAATGCAAGTGGCAAAGCAATGAGGGAGTCTCGCACCTCAACATGTGTTCACCTTTCCACGCCTGCGTGGCCTCGCCTCAGACACTGGGTGTGTGAAAAGGACACTTCTTGACAGTGACAATTTTCCCAGCAAACAACTGAATCCAGCACTCACAGCAAGGGACCCGAAACACGCCAATCAACCCGGAAGCCGTCCCACTTGATTGGCCAAAGGAGAAAGCGCACCCGGGAACCGGCTTTCATATACCAACCTGAACTAGGATCTAAATTCAACCAAAGACCGGCTCCTCATGCCACAAGTGGCTCATCCACCTTCCCGTCCACCCACTGGAGCTTTGCGAAGGTCTACCCAAATCCATGGTAAACTGAAAGGCTTCTGGCCGCATGGCTGGAACCGTCCCCTCGTGCCGTGGCTTTTTTGGTGTCGGCGTCGCGCCTCTGAAAACACTCTAGACACCACTCTCGGCGATTGCTTAAAACGGAGCACCAGCTGGGTTACCTCCAAGTGGTGATGTGCAGAGATTTGGGTGTACTGTTTTTTGGGGAAACTTTCGTGATTCCCTTCAACCCAAGTTTTGTTTCATTTCTTTTCTTTTTAAAGAGCACGCTTAGCTGGCGCAACTGTTGCGCGTGAGCTTGCTGTGCTAAGCAGTGGCTCATGTTTGCAAATATTACAATTCGGGACGTGCACACTTCGGTTGGGTATTTTGCAATTTCAGCGACAAGCAGGCAGCCCGGTGGCTGTACAAGTTTCCGTGCTGGACAAGCCCGTTTCAGTTTGTGCCATTTCTATCGCGCAAGTTGATGCTAACGGAATTCTGTCCAACAAACGGGAGAAAAGAAAACAGCCAATTCGAGCAGCCCAACTCCTCCTATCAGCAAACAAGCACGAAGGAAACCCACTGGCAGAAGGAGTCTCCTTTTGGAGATACCCGTCCTTTGCACGTTCCTGACTGGGCCAAGTTCAACTTGTAGTTTAGCCCTCAAACAATTTGAGAAGTTGTACTCCCCAAAAGTTTCAACAGTTGATGTCCCTAAAGCTTGTAAAGTGGCATTCCCCCAGAACTTGAAAAACTTGTTTCGGCAAATGTTTGTTCAGGGAGCCTTTTTCGTGAACATCATTTAGGTGGGGATTCCTGGCTCCAACTCTTAAACTTCATGGCCAAACAACAAGTCTTGTTCTTCGGCCCCTCGCGGATGCACCGCGCTGGCTACCAAACCACGCCCCAAAGGCGCGGCCTATCTCAGAGGGTTCCTCAGCCCAGCAGCAGCTCGAGGATCTCCACAGAGCTCCCAGGCGACAGCTGCAAGCCTCGCCAGGAGGGTGCCGGCGAATTCCAGAGGTCTGGGGATGTGACCTGGGTTTAGAGTATGTCCCTGCATGTTTGCATGTTTCCCCGGCTGAAAGCTTTGGGGCCGGGGCGGCTCGGTAGGGTTCCGCGCAGGGTTTCCAAGGTTCGCTGGGAGATCACCTGAGCTGACCGGACCTCAGGCAACTAGAAATGCGTTAGAAGTAACATCTCCAGGGAAACATATCTGGAAACGCAGGGTTGGTACTGTAGTGGGCCCTTTTGGCTGTTTGGTGTCCTTATTCTCTTGGGTACTCACATGCAACAACCCCCCTACAGTTGGCAACCGAGAGACACCATTGCAACACCTAGTGGCAAAAACCATATGGCTAGCTACCATAGCGAGAACTGGCAGCATTGGGGTTGTTCTGATAGTTTCTGGCGTTTGGTTTTAGGTTCTCTTGCCTTCACAAAAACTTCGTTCATGGAAGCACCTGGCTGTAATTTGTGTACCGTCAGTTTGTTCTGGTTTGACGGAGCCAGAGGGACGCTGCCCGACAATCTTTCGGACTTCTTTTGCCTTCCCAGAGGCCCCAAACAGGTTGCGGTTTCCATGTTTAGTCTTGCTGGTGCGGTAGGTAGGGAATGTGGGAATGAACCCAAGGATCCCCTTTAGATGGTCTATAAGGGTCATATTTGGCCGGGGGTCAAAACCCTGTGCCCCTGGTGAACAGCAAAATAGGTGGCAAATGGATGTGCATCCACCCCAAAATGGAGCCATAGGTTCTGCTCCATGGCCATTTCGCATTCCCTGCATCTATGGCACCCAAAGCCCAAAAGCGAGCGGCGAAGCTCATCCACCGTGGGGGCGCCAGCATCTAGCTGGAGCTCCTGCAACAACTGGGAGGGCAGCTTCGGTTTGGATAGGGCGCCCGTTTGGATGTGTCTTTTTCTAGGGGACCCCCACAAAATGGTGGGTTTCTCTTAAACTATTGTTGGTGTCCGTTTGGTTTCCCGATAAAAACCAGCCCCGAAAAGGGTACCATGAAAAAAAAACAGATCCACTTAGCTTAAACAAGAGCCAGGGGTGCTTGCACCCCCAAACACAACCGATCCTCAATTGGGGCCAACTTGATAAGGGGTCTGGAACAAAACACAATTGCGGTTGCTTGAGGCTGGGGCAAAAGGGAGATGGCTTGCAAGACGGTTTGTTCAGATGTCCGTCTTCTTGCAAGTCTGTGCGTCTAACAGAAAGGCGCTTTTGTAGAAACAGACACCCCTGCAAAAGAAACGGGAAGTAGGAGACATGTAGGTTGCGAAAAATCATGCCACCCAAGCTGGGTCAAATAACCCCCTCCTCTGAAAATTGTCTCCACATCAGAGGACCAGAACAAATCGATTTGCATTTGTTTAGCTGCTAGATATCCGCATTTCATTTGCTCTCCATCAAACGACGCAGACGAGTTACAGTTGGAATATCTGTTGCCCTGATATGGAGGTTGAGTAAAAAGGAGAAGCAAATTCGTGAGCCCCTATGGGGGGCTGTGGGAAGCTAGCACAAAACATGTTTAGAACTACCAAAAGGGACATATTGAAAACTGCCCCGTCGCGAATCTAACGCGCCCATATGTGTTGAAGCCACCCGCCAAGGACATGCACTGGTCGATGCTAAGCTGCCATCCGCTGATCAGGACAGTGGCATCTATTTGCATCTGTGCCCCGCGCTTGGCCACGAAATGGGTGTGAGTCAAAATTAAACCACCAGGGGACCACAGGTTTTAGTCCTTGGCTCCACTTACCGGTCCATTCTGGGTACCCATGTTTGACCCACCGCCAAATCAAACGCATCCGTTTCGTGTCCTCGCAGTGGTCTTGCAACAAGGCCCAGCACCGGCCCAGCTGCCAGTCCATCCTGAGATCGCTCCGTTCGCGATGCCCGGGAAAATTGAACCTAAAAAAACATTCCCGGTGCTTCCAGGCGGGTCCCCACAGGCAACCCGGTTGTTTGCAGGAAAATGTTTGCATGCTGAAGCACTGGGATTTGCAAGTCAGAATCAGTGCGGCGATGGAAATGATTCAAAGCCGAAAGCTGACGCTAAACATTGGGTTGCACGCGCAAATTATTTCAGGGACATAATCACCAAAGCTTTGGCTCGTTTCTTACACCGGACGACGGACTCACTCCACCCACTCCGCCTCACCCAAACCAACCCCGCGCTTACACGGAAAACGGTTTGGTGTTTCCGCCCCGCGTTTCGCGCTTCCGCGTGGATTTCGGATCGAGGCGCTCGAGGTGTCCCCGCAGATGGCTGAGATCCTCGAGGCGCAGGCGCCACTTCTGCTGGCGGTAGGCCCAGCTGGACCGCCAGGACACCACCTTGCGGGATGGGTGGGGTATCGCCACGGGGGTGGGGATGGTCCAAGGGGAAAACTGAGATGTTTTTTTGTTGGGAAACTGAGAAAAGGGGGTGTCTTGAAATAGAACACCCCTCTGGAATGGCAGGTTGCCCTTTTCATAGCCAGCAAACAAACCCAAATGTGGTAGTACCTTATTTAGAACTTGGTATGATCGACCCAGCTGGGAATGGATCTGGTATGATGTGAGGGTTCCCACCCATTTCGGTGGGTGAATTCTCTTGCTTCACCCAAACTAAAACACGGACTTCAGGACACGTCCGTGTTGTCACTCCCTCGACTTTTTGGACGCATCGACCTCTTTTTGGGGGATTGCTCATAAAGGGACCTAAGCCAGGCAGAAACAAGCGGCTGGCTCAGATGCCCCGCTTGGAAGACGTGACTTCCATAGACTCAGGGCTCGTGGATCAGTCACTCGCACCAAACAAGTTCGACTAGATTGACCACCATCAAATATCCATAAGCGTGCACTCGTTGCTCGATGTGATCTTTTCTGCACAACTTACTATACTTCAAAAAGTCGAAACAAGATCCCACCCTCAACTGCTAGTAAATGACCTCATTCATGGGT